TACAGAAATGGCAGAGTGATGTTCACACTTCATCAAAAGCTACATGTTATAGGATTTTTAAAAATAATTGTCATTTTGAAAATTACTTAGATATTTTAAGTGATAAGGATAGAGTTACATTTTGTAAATTTAAGACTACTAATCACAAATTCATTGTTGAAACCGGCAGATGGCATAATATAGAGTATAATGAAAGAAAATGTCCACACTGTAACAGTCAGCAAATTGGTGACGAATTCCATTACTTGCTTGAGTGTCCGTCACTATCTGGGTTTCGAATTTTATACATAGACAAATATTTTTGGACGAGACCAAATGTAATTAAGTTTAATGAATTGATGAATACTACTAATATAAAAACACTGAAGAAACTTTGTACTTTTATTAGAATAATTAATAACAGTATTTGACCTCCTCGATATAAATGTGTATATATTATAAAACAGTACTGTGTACTACCGACTACGAACACTACAATTACTATATATTATATTGTAAATATGTTTCTCTATACATTGTATTGTGAAAGAGAATAAAGTTGAATTGACTATATATTAGTAGCGTGGGTCATAGGTTAACCTCGGCTGTCACGTGAGACAGAAACACATGCTTTACCGCGACGTTACGACATTTTCTGATCGCCTTACGTGCCTCTTAACAGGGTGTCCACGGGATAATGACACCTGTCAGCACTTGACAGCACTGTCCTCCAAACTGACCACTGGTCACCTTATTCGTCTACAACTTTATCTACTGTTACTCGCGAGGAAAGTTTATGTCCTTTATGTAAAACTGTGTTCGGGACGAATACCAATATTTATACCAAGGTACTAATTATCTGCTGTAGCTTTTAGACAACTTCATATACCAAATTATTATTATATCAATACAACTTATATCAAAATGAAAGGAATGTTCTCAATACAATGTATGTAACACGGTACTTTTAACAAAATTAAGTAGATTTATACAAAAAGTAATGAAGCTACTTAAAATCTAAAATAAGCTAGCTACAAGAATTAATGAAATAGGTTGTTATTATTTATATTGTATTATATGTCAGATTATATGTGTCATATGTCCATCAATGTACAAAATGTATACTATGTAATATCTGACCTATTGTTTAAATAAACCTTGTAAGCTTGTTATGTTGACCATTGTAATGTTATCAGATACAGAGTGAAGTAACAGCTAGGTTAACGATTCCGCAATAAATAGTAACCAACAGGAATTTTACGTACTGGCAGCTTAAGGTAGAGAGTTCCGACGGTCTGTGTTGTAC